CCAAAACCAATAAATCGATGTACACTTCGGGAACTCCGCGTTCGTTGACCTCGTTTTGTGTGGCCTCTCCTAACCGGAGCATCACATCCAACAACACTTCACTCAGAGGAACACCGTTAAGACCATCTAAAGTACTCAACTCCCCGTTAATCCATTTCACGCCAAACGATTCGGTTTTGTCCCCAAAACGACCCCTACTTTTCACGACATTTACAAAACGTGATTCCAGTTATGATTCACTCGAATAATAGTTTAGTTTAAATGAATTGTTGGCACAAATTAATTCTATATTTATTTCACATTTATGTTTAAATCGCAAGCATTTTACTCCAAATATTTAATTCATTCATTGCAATCTTACTGTATGTGAAGTATAGGAACCTTTTTATTAAATGTAAAATTTGTTTAAATTTTATATTTAATTAAAGAAAATTTTATTTAAAGTGTTATAATTTACAATATATTAACGCGGTTTCTCTAATAGAGGATTACATAACGGTATAATACAGAACGACTGTAAATACTCATTGATTAGTACAGGCACTGTATTCTTAATGTGACTACAATGTAATCAAATGAATTGGTACTTCATTACAATTGTAATACATAAGGAAATTAAAAAAGTATTAATAAACAAAAAACTAAATTTATCTAAATATTGTCTCAGAAAATAAAATGCAATAAATAAAGTGTTTAATTGCAAACTGAAGGCCAATCAACAAATTCCATCTCTTTGTGGATTCGTGTGTTCTTTGGATAATCAAAGGTATCAACGATTTTATAATTCAGACATTTGTCTGTAATATCGTCAGTGGAATCAGTGTCTGAATGTCTGCGAAATATAGCTATTTGTGTGCAAAAGCCGACATCACTGTACTGTTCGGGTGGTTCACCGACACCTGTCTTCTCATAACTATATTCCGGATAATTTTTTACAATACTTTGACACCAATTGTCGAACTCGTGTCTCGTCCACTCAAACTTGTGGTCATAATGTCTTAGTTGTGACGTGTTCTTCAGCTGCGGAAACAATACATTGTATTCAATGTTTGGAGTCGTTATGATCACCACTTTTGGCCGAATATAACCGAATATATTATCGGGAAATGCTTGCAAAACATCGGCCGTTAAGTGCTCTATAAGTTCAATGCAAGTGATGGCATCAAAGTTCTCGAGTCGACTGTCATTTTGAGCGACACTTCCCTTATAGACGTTTACTTTTAACGGTACGTCTCGTTCGGCAAAGAGAAAGTCATAGGGAAGGGGACGACTCTCGTGGACACACATCTCCAGTGAGTAGTCGTCGCAATCAATTAAAGCAATTTCTTCAACATTTGTCATTCGCTTGAGTCGTCGAAACAGCTTTCCTTCAGCGCATCCAAAATCAGCGATTTTGTGGATATTTTGACACTTTTGTGTCAACACATCGAAAACCAATTGATAGCGTTGTATATAAAGTGGAGGACTGAACACAACATCACTTCCCGACGCCATCTCATTCTCCTCTTCGGTCTTCATTTTATGACACAGTATTCACTCCGAAGTCAAACCAATTAAACAAAAATATTTTTAAATCCTAACAAAATGTTTATAAAAATTGTGGTCAAATGAGACAATAAATTAACAAATCTTCTGGCGATGAACACAAATATCTGCGGCAATGGTGTTGTGGTGTTAGACAGAGCTCTGGGCGTAGTTCTTGGTGTCCACTATTTTGGTGCCACACAT